TTCAGAGGGCCCCCTGCCTGTCTTTGCCTAGGGCCCCAAATTCCCTAAATCCGCCCCTGCTTTTAGAAACTAAGGACTTTAGAGGAGCTGTCAGGTGTCCATGTACTCACAGCGTTCCCTGGGCATTTGGCTGAACAGTTGGTGTTCCTGTACGCAGCTTCAACATCCATGCATTGATTCTGGCTGCAAACCTTCGAACAAACAAATCAAGCCTTCAGAGCTGCTGCGTTCACTGCGTCAATTATCTGAAAACATGAACCCCTGGATGGAGACGAGAAAGTACCTTCCCCTCCCCACAGACGGTGCCTTCCTCCACCTGCCCGTAGTCTTTGGTGTAGTCCTGAATGAAAGCCGCCTTGCAGCCCCCGATTGTGACCATTTGGCCGTAGATAGGGTTGGGATTGCCGCCGCTGCAGAAAAGCTTCCCGCAGAAAAAATCTCTGCATAACAAAGAAGAATTCATGTCATCCAGATCATCCAGTCAGATTGATTCAAAGTTTCTATCTAAGGAAAACCAGCTGATTGCATCGACTCATTGACTCTTTAGCCTCCCACTAAGCATGCTTGTAGCGACAGTGGAGAGGAAAAACTCCCTTTGAACAGGAAGAAACCTCCAGCAGAACTTCCAGATCAGCTCAGACTTTTAATAAAAGCCAAATGGATTGATTTGATTTTCTGTATTTCCTGTAAAAACTCGGTGGATGAAGGATTTACGAGACGATCCAGCGTTTAGGTGCATCTCTAGCTTCCTTTTAATGAACTCGATGGAAGTTTCTGCTGCCGATTCGTTTGTTGGCCGAAACATTTTATTTTTTAACTTTTTAGAAAAGAACGAAAAAGTGAATTATTAGGATTTGGCTGCAGATCACCATCAGAACCAGTCAGACGGGATTAAGTAGTGATGGGTTAATGAGGCATCATTGCCAAACGTATTGATCCTTTATTGACATTGAATACTGACACCTGCTGGACATTTAAAGACACTACAGGCAGCTTGTTTGACACATTAAACTGATTTGATGCCCTAGTACAATGATATGATTTAAATTATTGTAGGTTATATTGTATTATTTCATATATCTATGTTTCAATTGAAAATATCTTTGATATTTTTAGCTGCAGCCAATAAATAATGTAAACATTTATCATAAGGTGAAAATTTAGGGGAAAATATGAATGAGGATGCTTGTAAAATAGGGTTTTAAATCATATTTTTACAGTAAATAAACAAAGAGTCAATTTGAAATGAACTTTAATTCCTATAAGTTGAGTAATAACTGAAGAAAAGTTTGACACAACCAGAAAATTTTAATAAAAACAGAGCGTCTGACACTTTCCTATTCCTTTTAGTTTCCAAAATCTTGATCATTTTCATGATAAACAGCAAAAGATGAGACATTTCTTTTAGCAGATGCATCGTGTTGACAGATACGATTTTAAACACAGTTTAGTTTAAAAACAAATTAAATTAAATAAATGAATAAAAAAATAAAAAATTTAAAATATATAAAACAAAAAATAAAATACAAAATATAAACACAGTTTAGTGAATCAGTCAGTTAGAAACAATTCCTGGATCGGTGCGCCTGTTGTTTCCAGAAAGTCATGTGACCGATCCAGTGTTTTAGGGCTTCATGCATGCAGCGATGCATCAGTGTTGCT